GACAAGAATGCTACCCAAAAATGAAACTCAAACTAGTAGGCCTTTTTTGTTCAGAGGCATAGGTTAGCCATTTTGAAACCATTTCGTTTTCACTATAGGATCGAGCAATTAAGTAACAATATTATTGATAATAGGAGCCAGGTTGCTCATTGTCACTTTGAAGGGAGTTAACATATGGAAAAAGGTAAGGATAGAAAAGAATAAACTCTAGGGTGCTGGACTGGAATTGGAGATACCAGTATGTATGAGTGGATTTTAATAAATGAAGATAAAGAAAAAAACGCATGTAGATATGGATCTATATGTAAAAATATACTTCCAGATGTATATATCTAAGCACATATACTAATGTATGTATATGTCTATCTGTTTCCACCAAGATGCCCTAGCAGCCATCACAACACAGTATCAATAAGTGCATGTAGATCTTGATATCTACATACCTCTCCACACTAAAAGGAACTAGAGATTCTTGAAGAAATGGCTGATTTTAGGCCTGGATCAGAGAAACTTTAAGATGAGGCTGAACATCTTGGGCCAAAAAATAAGGAAGCACTCAAAGAATGGTAGGGACATGTCAAAAAAGCACAGGAGTCACTTTGAAGGGCTCCCACTGGCAAATGCAGAACAATTTGAACATTAAAATAAAAAAAAGATAGGACTCTAACCTATTGAAGACAGAAAGAATGTCTGAGTCCATACTGATACAGACAGATAAATAGGGAAAAGGAAAAGTTCATCCTTATAATTGAAAGGCAACTAAAAAATGTAGAAGAAATGACAGAATTACTTGAGAATCATAGTAGATCCACGCAAAAATCATCAATGGACACTAGTGGGCAAAGGCTTAGAAAAAAAAAACAAACCAACCAAGATATCTGTATAGTTTCAAATCCATTTACTAGCTATGAAGAGTAAAATAATTATGACACAATAGAAAATCCTGACATATATCACCTTAATAAAATTATCAAAGTCAATACCACCAGTAGTGGGAATACTCAACAGCATGTGTCTGTATCATGCACAAAGGAGGACTGAACATCACTTCTGTTGTCTTCTTGCCCAAAGTACATAATCTGAATCTAATCATGAGGAAATGTCAGACAAAACATCTACATAATTAACAGCTATATTCCTCAAAAAGTCAACGTCCTAAAATACAAAGACCCATATTGTCCCCAATTTAATAAGACTAAAGAGACAACAGCAACTAAATGCAATGCATGATTTAAGATTTTTTTCTATGAGACATTATTGGCACAGCCGGTAAAATATGAATGTGAACTGTTTACTAGATATTAGTACTGAGTCAATGTTAATCTTCTGTTTTTGATAACTGTATTCGGGCTATATGAGGTAATTTATTATTATTTTTTTTTAGAAAATACACAATGAGGCAGTTGGGAATCAAGTAGCATGTCCACAACTTGCTCTTAAAACAGTTCAGAAAGGGGCACCTGGGTGGCTCACTCAGTTAAGCGGCTGCCTTCAGCCCAGAAAGAGAAACATAAAGAGGAAAAGTAGAGAAAAAGCAAATAGTAAGATTTTCCCATTTGGAGAATGGGAAGAAATGTGGGATTTCTCTGAACTATTCTTCTAACTTTTCTATAAATCTGAAATTACATAAAAATAAAGCATTTAAGGGGATTCCTGGGTGGCTCAGTGGTTTAGCGCCTGCTTTTGGCCCAAGGTGTGATCCTGGAATCCTGGGATTGAGTCCCATATTGGGCTCCCTGCATGGAGCCTGCTTCTCCCTCTGCCTGTGTCTCTGCCTCTGCCTCTCTCTCTCTCTGTGTGTGTGTCTCTTATGAATAAATAAAACAAAAAAAAAAAAAAAGAAAGAAAGAAAATTTAAGACAAATATATATGTCAAAGTTCCTCATTATAGCATCATTTATAATAGTGAAAACTTTATTCCTTTAGTAATTAGTTACTGGGTATCTTACATTCTAGGTAGTGTGCTAAAGACAAAGGAAACAGTATTGAACAAGCAAGACCAGTTTTGTGATTTAGAAACTGAGGGGTTTCTCAGGAGGCAAGATTTGCAGGACTCAAACTAGATAAGCTGGTCATTCTAAGTAGAACTGAATTATGATGGCTCTACGCAGAAATGTTTATAAAATTCTGATACAGCCATTAAATACAATAAGGGCAAATCAAAAGTAGTAATGTAAAAACTGTAAGGGAATGATACTTATTGTAAGACAGAAAGAAAAACTAGGACACAGAAACACTATTAGAATTGTGTGTGTGTGTGTGTGTGTATGATTTAAAGGCAAAATTAAAATAGCTAATTGTGATTATTTTTCCTATTTTAGTTTCCTATAATGTTCTACTGTTTTAAGAACCAAAGAAGAAATTCATCCTAAAAAAAGTTACCAACACTTCCATTGTTATTGTTTATATATTTATTTTTCTTTATTTTTTAAGTAGGGTCCATGCTGGGCTTGAACTCATGACCCTGGTATCAAGACCTGAGCTGAGTTCAAGAGTTGTATGCTTAACTGACTAAGCTACCCAGGCGCCCCAATTACCAACATTTCAGAAAATAGATTATTTTTTTTTGAAGACTTTATTTGACATAAAGAGAGAGAGCACATGCACAAGCAGGAGGAGAAACAGAGGGAGAGGTAGAAGCAGGCTCCCCTCATTTGAGCAGGGAGCCTGATGTGGGTCTCCATCCCAAGACCCTAGGATCATGACCCTGAGCTATAGGCAGATGCCCAACCTGACTGAGCCATCCAGGTGCCCCTCAGAAAATGGTTCTAACTAAATCCACATAAGTGGGCTAATTAAATGAGTTCAGGAAAATGTCATCAGTCAGTTAGGATCATGAAAAACTGAGAGAAAATTTTTAAGCTAGTTTTGAGTACGTGTGTCTCCTAAAAATTAACTTGTTTCAGATTTTTTTCACATTTTTAGAAAATCTACAAAGCTACCTATTCTACTAAGTTCTATTTGAACCATTAGGAATTGTTTTGTGGAAAATGGTTACCTTTAGGCCTAATGTAATACAACTTATAATTTGTTGGGAAGGTAAAGTTCAGCTCATAATTTAAAAGATGATGGCAGCCATGGTAGATGTTGAGCTCCTCAAAGGTGGGAATCTGACATTCCTACTGCCTAAAACAAAGCAACCAATCATCCACAGTTTGCTTACTAAGCTAAAGTGCTGAATACTATATACTCTGAAACATGGGGTTCTTAACTTGCAATGTCTATTCCTAAGGCATCCAAAAATGGCCCTGGTGAGGTGGAGACTGATGGGAGTCGTTATTTATGAACCTCCTTACATTTTACTAAAAATAATGAGTATATCTATTTTGTGAGGGGAAAGTTTAAAGCTTTCATCAAATTTCTTTTCTTTTTTAAAAGATTTTATTTATTCACTTATTTATTTGAGAGAGAGAAAGAAGCCTGAGAGAGATCATGAGCAGCAGGGAGGGGAAGAAGGAGAAGCAGGACCCTGGGATCACGACCTGAGTGAAAAGCAGACGTTTAACGGACTGAGCCACTCAGGCGTCTCTCTCATCAAATTTTCAAGGAGCTCTAAGACCCAAAAGAGGTCAAGAAGTACTATTCTATGGGCGCCTGGGTGGCTCAGTCAATTAAGCATCCAACTCTTGATCTCAGCTCAGGTCTTGATCTCAGGGTCTTGAGTTCAAGCCCCACTCTGGGCTCCACTTTAAGCCTATTAAAAAAAAAAAGTGCTACAACAAATAAATAAACAAAATTATGAGATTTCCTAATGACTTAGAAATTTAATAACTCTAAAAGCCATTCAATTAGATCACAGAACCAAAGAAGTATTATAACAAACTTAAAACATGAGTGAAGACAATCAAATTCCTTAACTCTAGGTTAAATTCAAGTTTCATTGTGAAATATCACAAATCTCTTCGAGAGTTTATTAGCACATAATCAAGCTGGTGAATAATTACAGAATGCCTTATGCATCATATATCACTAAAAAACTTCTGATGACAACACTGAGTTATTTTAAATGTACTTGGGAAATGTGCTATTTTAAAGGAGGCCAAAGGAAAAAAAAATTATTCATTTTATAGTAAATGTCAGGCACTAGACCCTGAGATTGCAAAAAGAATATTTAGATCTTTTAAGAAGTGCAAAGTCGGGATCCCTGAGTGGCGCAGCGGTTTGGCGCCTGCCTTTGGCCCAGGGCGCGATCCAGGAGACCCGGGATCGAATCCCACGTCGGGCTCCCGGTGCATGGAGCCTGCTTCTCCCTCTGCCTGTGTCTCTGCCTCTCTCTCTCTCTCTCTCTCTCTCTCTCTCTCTCTGAGACTATCATAAATAAATGTAAAAAAAAATTAAAAAAAAAAGATTAAGAAGTGCAAAGTCTATTGGAAAAGACAAAGCATAAAAATATAATTATTTATAATACAAGCAGGTAGAAATTAACAGTTTCTGGGAAAGCTAAAGAGTATTTCTAGAAAGAACTGATACTTAAGCTGGAACAGTTTCATTGCTATCAGAAAGAAGTGCAGGTTGGGATAACATTTTAGGCAGTGGAGATGTCTACAAAGGCATGGATGGAATCTTCCTGTGTGTTGAGGGTGGAAAGGAGAAAAGACTAGCAGAAGATAAGATCCAGACTAGAAATAACCTTCTATGAATTGATGATGAATTTGGATGCTTTCCTGAATACAAAAAGCTGCAGCCACTGAAGGTTTTTACGAAGAAGAGTTACTTAAAAAAAAGTTGGGAGTTTTGAAAGGTTATTTCTGGGAACAGTGTAGAAAATAAGAGTAACATGGGAAAGAACAGATAAGAAAATCTTAAGTGGAAGTATTCTTTCTAACAAAATTAATTATGCCTGTTTTTTTGGACTTCAGGTTTTTATGTATGACTTTTCAAAAAAAGCAATATGTATTTCTAGTTAGAGCCTTAATTTGCAGTTTAATTCACAATTCTCAGAGAGACCTGTCATGGGCCTACAGTTTGCTCGCCAGCTGCACAGCCTTGCCGTTGCTTACCTGTAACAGAGAGGTTGGTCACCGCAGCGCTGCTCAGCGGGAGAACTGGATTGACAGTGAGGGTAGTTGCTGCGCTGCTAGGCACAAGGCTTGGCGTGGTTGCCACCTAGAGGTCCGAAATGAAAATACGCAAAAGTATTTTGAAAAATAAAAAAATTTACATCAATATTGAAGACATATTTTGCCTATAAAAAAATTTAAAATTCCAGATATAGGGTGGCCCAGGTGGCTCAGCAGTTTAGCACCGCCTTCAGCCCAGGGCCTGATCCTGGAGACCTGGGATTGAGTCCCATGTTGGACTCCCTGAATGGAGCCTGCTTCTCCCTCTGCCTGTGTCTCTGCCTCTCTCTCTCTCTGTGTCTCTAATGAATAAATAAAATCTTAAAAAAAAATAATAAAATTCTAGATACAACAGGATTATAAGGGCCTCAGAGGAAATAATTTCATAATCATTTTTTGATCTTGGAATTGAGAAAATAGACCTATGTTCAAAGGCGGCTATTAGAAGATGGTTTTTCATGGATAAGAGAAACAGCTTTGCCCAAGGTTTTAAAAAGAAATACTCCAAGTAAGGAATATTATGCTGATTATCAACTTAATCTACAAAAGAAAATTATTCAATAGGATCAGAGCATCAAGGATTTTGGATTGCTTTTAATTTTGGTCTGTCTTGTTTTTGTTTTGGTTTTGATTTTAATGAAAAGATATAATGGAAAGAATGTGAAGCAAAATTTTAAAAAGATGACAGTTTCTTTTTGAAATAAAGTATTTCTACAGTTTTATAAGAAACACTGTCTTTCTTTTAGTACAAATAAATACAAAACACAAAACAGAACTGTGTCTAAAGACTGTCTTTTTCATAACTACTATGTCATAAACTTCAAGATTAAAGCCCAACCATTCAACAACCACAGCCTTCTCTTAACAACTAGTATGCATTCTTAATGATGACTTCAGTTTAAAAAGCATCCAGTACAGAATGATATTCAAATATAATAAAAACAAATTAACAAGGAAAGATCAGAAATGCAAACTCAATCCTGTCATCTGTGGAAGCCTGCCTGGAAATACAGAGTCACATCTGCCGTCATCCTTACGATCAAGGGAGTACCTGAGCGCTGCATGTCCCTTTAGTCTAGAATACTGTTCCAAAGCAATTGGTGGAAGTTACTCAATGAGGTTATCAATGAAAGGCCCCATACATGTTTGGAAGTGAAGATGTGAGATGGTTGTTTTCATACAAGTTCAGAGCTAAAGGCTATCTGGGGAATTTACTGTCACCTGTCACTTCCTCATGTAAGCTTAATAAACTGGGCTTTAAAACCCAATAGGAATATGGGAGAGCCTGGGTGGCTTAATCGGTCAATCATCTAACCCTTGATTTTGCCTCCATGATCTTAGGGCTGTGAGATGGAGCCCTATGTTGGCTCCAAGCTGAGGGGGTGGGGGTGGGGGAGTCTGCTTGAGATTCTTTCCCTCTCCCTCGCTCCCTCTCTAAAAAACAACAAAACAAAAACTCCAAAACCCAACATGAATAAAAAGCAACTAAAGATTTTTTTTAGGTAACTGGAATCTAGCAAATCTGTTCCCACAGTTAGAGTAACCTAATAAACTAAACTACATCAAAGAAGAGAAAAATGGAGCCATCATGAAATAGGAAAGAATTAAAATTGTTCACTTAAAAAATCAGTTAAGTTCTTGGCTTAATGATAACATGAGATTTAGTTACTTTGATAACATTTAAAATAAAAATCTATATATACTTACTCAACATGAATGTGTATATATATACGTGTGTGTATATATATGTATATATACACACAATAAATTACTATCATGAAATAAATTGATTTCATAGATCATCCTCTATTTCTTTATCCTTACCAGTGAGGTTGGACTAGGGAAAATTGCTTTGATAGGTGAGCTGCTGGTCCCACCACTGCTTGGTGGGTTGATTCTTTTTTCTTTCTGGCGGCGGTTACAAAACCAAACACGAATCACTTCCTTTTCCATACTGAGCTGATCAGCAATCATGGTGATCTCTTCCGAGGTAGGCTTTTGATTCTAAAGGGGAAAAAGAAAAATCATCTTGTGGAATAACTTTTAATTTTTTTTTAATTAAAAAAATTTTGGGGGGGATAACTTTTTAAACCTACTGGCGTAAATAAACAAATGGGAAGGGCCAAATCAGAGAATGAAGTTGCGATATATATGATCATTTTGGCCTACTTTAAACAAAGAACTTCTATAAATAAACATTCTAATGAACATATATTTATTAAACTTATTCATTTAACTAAGAATAAGTTATCCTTGAATATTCATTTTTTTATCTTAAGGGCTATTAATCTTGACTAAAATTAATAATCAACACAACTGTATATATTAGTAGGAATTTAGGAGATTTTTCAGTGCTTCACACACATGCTTTCAACAGGATCCATGAGGTAGGCAGTGAGCCCATGGGGCAGAAAAGGCAAGTGTTTTACAGATAAAGGGACTTTAGCATAAGAAATCAAGTGACTGGGATCCCTGGGTGGCGCAGCGGTTTGGCGCTTGCCTTTGGCCCAGGGCGCGATCCTGGAGACCCGGGATCGAATCCCACGTCAGGCTCCCGGTGCATGGAGCCTGCTTCTCCCTCTGCCTATGTCTCTGCCTCTCTCTCTCTCACTGTGTGACTATCATAAATAAATAAAAATTAAAAAAAAAAAATAAAAGGTTTAAGAAATCAAGTGACTTGACCAATCACAGTTAATAAAAGTGGTAGAACGGGTAAAGATTCCTGATTCAATGTTCCTTCCACTATGCTTAACCCTTTTTTAAACTAGAAGTCAAAATTGTATTGGAAGCTCTGTGTTCTTCCATGAGGCAATTAACAAACGGGAGGCCAAATACCTGTTAGAACTAACTTGAACTACTGAGATCCAAGGCCTGTAGTGGTCTAGTCCCAAATGACTATTCTAGGCACACAGGCTAGAATTTAGTTAAACCAAACTGTTTTGTGTGTCACCGGCTCTACCTCATGGTTTTCCCTCTCTGGATGCCTTTGGTTGTGCATTTTCTCTGCTTCCAGTGCTTCCCTGCCACTTCTCCCAGCCTGGTCCTATGTATCCCAGGGGAGCTGCTGCTTCTGTCACCCTGGTGCTCACATGGATGTGAGCCTGGACTCTCCTCAACCCGGAAGTATTCTGGTTCTGTTTCCAATGTTCAGTAAGTTCAGCAACTGGTTTGTCTCTTGTTCTCTACTATGTTATAAGCATCTTTAAGGACTGAGGCAAGTAAGTCCATCTTTTATCATATATAGCACCTAGTATCACACAAACAATCACATGTACATGAAGAACTTTATTAACCTCCAAGAAACTCTTCTCTAAGGCCACACGGATGTTGGTCTCTATGCTGGTGCGTTTCTTCCTCCTACGGTTCAAGCCTTCCATTCCTAGCCCTGGAGAATTCAGGGCACTTGGGCTGGAGAGACCTGAATCAGATGAGAGGTTCTCTGTAAGAAAGAAGAAAACACAGAAACCAAGTTAGTGGAGCACAATTCATGCATATAATACACATATTACCAATAATAAAACTGACCAAAATATGTTAAGCTAAAAGCAAGCATGGAAGGGTTTTCATAACCTACATTAAAACATCATTCACTACCATATCTTTCTGAATTCTTTAAGGCTTAAACAAGGTTCTGTTATTTAATAGACCAATGACCCTGGTCATGTCATAGACATCTTTGAGTTTCTTTACACACTATGTAAAATGAGATGTTCTCACCTGTAGAACTCAGTAAGATTATAGACGCTAAGGCCTCATTCAGAGCTATGGATGCAGACCATCCAAAGGTGGGCATTACAGATTCATCTTTTCCAAAGACCTGACTTTTGTTCACATTTACAACAAGAACTATAGTCTAGGAGATCTCCATGGCTCCTTACAGTTCTCACATAGCCTATTGATTCTGTGACTCAAAATTCAAATTTTCCAAAAGGAAATCTCAGTACAAAGTACCTAAGTTAAACCTAGCAGCTCAGCTTTTTACGTATGAAATATATGGTCATTTTTAATTACAAAAGCAGACAAATTATCAGAAATAAGTTTATGAGGGCAGCCCCGGTGGTACAGCGGTTTAGCGCCGCCTGCAGCTCAAGGTGTGATCCTGGATACCCAGGATCGAGTCCCACATCAGGCTCCCTGCATGGAGCTTGCTTCTCCCTCTGCCTGTGTCTCTGCTCCAATCTCTCTCTCTCTCTCTCTCTCTCTCTCTGTGTGTGTGTGTGTCTCTCATGAATAAATAAATAAAATCTTTTTTTTTTAAAAAAAAAAGAAGTTCATGATAATTCATCAAGGAAGAATCTATAAATTTGTTTTCAAGTGTATCTAAATATATAAGACTTATCTTCTTCCCTCAATTATTCCTAACCCTGGCTCAAATACAAGAAATATTCCAAGGCTAAAAATTCTTGCTCATTGTGTACGTTGTAATTATTACATTTAAGTGAATTAGTTCTCTAATTTATAGTCATAATTTACATTGATCCTCTCAACATCAGTGTGGTTCAATGTTCTGAAGTACCAATAATGCAACAGGGAACATAAATCTAAGTGTAAACAATTCTCCTGTAAAATTCCACTGGTCACTTCCTGTGTCTTACATATTTACTCACCTGCGTCATTTAGCCACTTCTCCAAAAGTGGCTTTAGCTTGCACATGTTCTTAAAGCTGAGGTTCAAGGCTTCAAAGCGAGAGATGGTAGTTTGGCTGAAGTCATTTCCATACAGTTTACCCATAGCGAGCCCAACATCACCCTGCACAGTAATACAGAACAGGAGGGGGAGAGGAAGAGAGAAGAGACTTATCTTACTAATGTCCAAAGTCTTCATTCTAGGATGCTGCTCCAATAACTGTTCTAAAGACTAAACAATCATTCCATTTATTAGGTCCCACAAAAGCATCCAACCTTAAACTGAGCACAGCATTCAATGAAGACTGTTAGACCTTGATTATTACAAAATTCTTAACTCCCATAAGCTCTGCATTTTCAGTCTCTTCTTGTTACCTCATGTAACAATCAAGATATCAAGAATTTCTAAGTTTCAAAAGATAATACTAATATTCTAACAAGCCCACAATGATTTAAATAATCTTTAAGGAAAAAAAAATAAATAATCTTTAAGGGACAACTGGGTGGCTCAGCGGTTGAGTGTCTGCCTTCAGCTCAGGACATGGAGTTCTGGGAATGAGTCCCGCATTGGGTTCCTGCATGGCACCTGTTTCTCCTCCCTCTGCTTATGTCTCTGCCTCTCTCTGTGTCTCTCATGAATAAATAAATAAAAATCTTTAAATAATAATAATAATAATAATAATAATAATAAATAATCCTTAAAATCAGTTCTCTGTATCACCTACAGGGTTAATAGATATAACTGTTTAGATAAAACTTCAGGTATTTCTGAATTAGCCAAACTTTCTTATTATAAATCACTTTAAAATTTAGAAGTAATGCCCCACTCTCCCTGCACTCCCCCTACCCGCCTCCCATAAAATATTTCTGGAAGCAGTGAAAAAAATCTATTTTCCATCCTTAGTTTGGATTTCAAAGTTGGTTACAAAAACACATATCCTAAAAGACTACTTTTGTAACTATTATAGAGACAGAAATTCACAGTAGAGAGGTTTGACCCACTTAGTTAAACCTTCATGGGCACTGGAAACTTGGTAACCTTATAGCAATAGAACAATGATCCCCTGAATATATTACAAAAGATGTCTTTCTTTATAAGCCTATAACCTTTGAAATGTATACAGTGCTTTTCTTCTAGCTGAATCTCTCTTGTTAAATCTGGAAAAAGCCATATCTTAATAGTTATTTTATATACGGGTAATAAAAACACATGGAGTTTAAATGATTCATGCTCTCGTTTCAGCTAGTTTGGTGGCGGGGCAGAAAGGCAACATTTCTAGTCCTAAGTACTACACAGCCAATTCTACCATGCAACAGCCAATTCCCAACAACTGTGGCAACACTTATTTTGAATTGGGATTATCTTAGTCCTTTGACTCCCCCCACCCCTGCCCAACCATATTTTGGAAAACACATTGTTTATTAGCACCTGCATTAGGTTGTAGTTAAGGAAAGGAAAAAACATTTTTTAAGAAACTTCCATTTTCTTACTGGTGTGCAACTCTGATAAAAAGTTTAATAGAGAGTTATAAGTTTAAATGTTTAAATTATATGATAAAATGAGGTTTAGAGAATATCAGGACTTCAATTGGTGTCTCTATTTAAACTCAGTTCCTTATGTCAAAGTCTTTCTGGAAGAAAAAAAAAAAAAGGGAAGAGTCATGCCATCTTTCAAGTGCTCAGTAGCCACATGTGGAGAGTGGCTATTGTACTGCTTAGCACAAATACAGAACATTCCCAGAATCACAGAAAGTTTCACCGACAGCTCTGAATACACAATCTCTAAGAACAGAAATGGACTGCTTATTGATTTCCTTCCAATTACAGTAAAACTGAAAGAACCAGGATAGTGTGAGTGGGGCATAATGCTATCCATGATATTTATATATAAATGTATCTGTAGATAAAGATTTATCTATATTGGTATCTCTATACATTTATTTAATCTTACTTCATTTAATCAACAAATATTTACCAAGTGCCTAGTATATTCAGGCATTAAACATGTTTTGTTTGTCACATATATTCATGTCTTGGTCACTTTATTTCTTTAGATTATTATCTTCCAGAAAGCTGGGCCAACTAAACCTTACAATTCTTTAAGACCTGCTGTAGTAGTCAGGTGAAAATAAATGTCTTCTGAGATTGTATCTGCATAATTTGCTAAGAATTTCTGAAAAACTTCTATATTTCTATGAAAAGTAACAATATTGGTAAGTACACAAAAATAACACATCAAAAATCATATCATTATAAAAATAAACAATGCCTTAAAATGGTGGCTAGACATAAAGCCATGCCATCAACTCATGACAACTATGACAGATCCATGTGAGATTTATTTTCTTTAAGGATTTTATCATTTGACACACAGAGAGAGGCAGGCAGAGAGAGGAGAAGCAGATTTCCTACTGAGCAGGGAGCGTGATATAGAACTCGATCCCAGGACCCTGGGATCATGACCTGAGCTGAAGGCAAATGCTTAACCAAATGAGCCACCCAGGTGCACCCCCCTTGCGAAATTTATAATACAATTTTACTTCATATTTAAGTTTTTAAAAAAGACTTGAGAGAGAGAAATCGAGTAAACAAGCAGGGGGGGGCGGGAAGAGGAGGGGAGAGTGAGAGAATCCTAAGCAGATTCTGTGCTGAGCATAGAGCTCTACATTAGGCTCGGTCTCATGATCCTGAGATCATGACCCAAGACAAAAACAAGCTGACACTTAACTGTGCCACCCATATGCCCCTAAATTATTTAAATGAATAAAAAGCAACAGGCCCCTCAGTTAATATACTAATTCTCATTAATTTGATATATGCTCAGTTTGGTGCTCTTGTTACTACCATGCTGAGTTCTTCCTCACAAAAGTAAATGTTTTAAGTAATTGTGTCCTACATCATCTGAACTATATAATATCTCTGATATGTTTTTCTTTGATAAGATTTTATTTACTTATTTGACACACACAGAGAGAGAGAGAGAGAGAGAGAGAGATAGAGAGAGAGAGAAGGAGGAGGGGCAGAGATAGAGAGACAGGCAGACTGAGTGGGGAACCTGACACAGGGCTGGATCCCAGGATCCTGAGACCATGACCTGAGTCGAAGTCAGACACTTAACTGACTGAGCCACCCAGGAAGCCCCTGATATTTTTTAACAGGAAAAAAGGAACAAAGATTGGGATTAGGAAATAATGAATATATCACATATGACAAAAGTGTTATACAATGGTATGCCTCCCAATTATAGAGAGACATTTATAGCAATCTTTTAAGCAACTAAGTAATTAGAAAATTACTGTTTAGAGGGCACCTGGGTGGTTCAGTCAGTTAAGCATTTGCCTTCAGCTCAGGTCATAATCCCAGGGGGTCCTGGGCTGGAGGCCTGTGTCAGGCTCCCTGCTCAGTTGGAAGTCTGCTTCTCCCTCTCCCTCTCCCCTCTGCTCATACTCTCTCTTGCTTTCTCTCTCACACACAAATAAAATCTTAAAAACATCAACAACAACAAGAGAAACACTGTTTAAAATATCTAATAACATGTATATTTACTCAGAGAATAGAGATTTTTGTTTGTTTAAACTAATAACTTGAATGTCTAATTTCCTCTGTGTGTTTATATAAACCAACAGGATACAAAGCAACCTTTGAATAGCTAACTGGGGTATGTGACTTAAAAATAAAAGTTGATTTTCCCATCCTCCATCAGTAATATATGGTTTAATCCACGTAGTTAAATTTTACAAAATGTTGTCTCTGGTATGTCAGTCTTTCTGGAAAAAAAAAAAAAGGAAGAATCATGCCAAATAATAGGATAAAAACCATAAAGCACCAGACCGTAAGGATGCTCCTTTACATATAAGAAAGAAATATGTTGGGTCAAACGCCACAGGAAGGGTAAACATTATTTGGGCAAAAGTTAAAGATTTTTAAAAGCCTTAATATACTTGGCATATCACTGAGGCAACAATCTCTTAGGGAACCTAAGAGTATGTTGTGCTAATAGCCTAAAAGCTGAAGCAGTGCTCCATATGCTAACCTTATACTTAGCAGTTAAGCATTCAAGCTTAACTCACTCCTATCAAACTAGTTGTATCCTCAGCTTTCTTTTTTAAAAACAAGCCAAAGGGCAGCCCAGGTGACTCAGCGGCTCAGCGGTTTAATGCCGCCTTCAGCCCAGGGTGTGATCCTGGAGACCCAGGATCGAGTCCCATGTTGGGCTCCCTGCATGGAGCTTGCTTCTCCCTCTGCCTGTGTCTCTGCCTCTCTCTCTTTCCCTCTCTGTGTCTCTCATGAATAAATAAAAAAATAAAACCTTTAAAAAATAAAATAAGAACAAGCCAGACTGTTGAGATGTTTCAAAAATACTAAACTCTTTTTGAATTGTAATTTGTTTCTTCACAACTGAAATTCCTCATTTTCTCTAAAATTATATCTACTTAAAAAATCATTTCATGTTCCTAATATGTATGTAATTAGTTCTTCTGAGCAGAGAAATATAAGGAATAAAAGTCTGTTCTTAAAAACACCAGAAAATTAAGATATCATCTTTGGTTTTTGATTTACCACAGTAGAATCATTATTTTACTTTCAACTGAAAATAATTCAGATAGTGTTTCAGTAGTGGCTTAATCTTCAAACAGGAATTATATTCTTAGAAAATACCAGGTTTTTCCTGATTCCGTAAGAATATCCACTCCAATCTATACTTCAGTAACTGTTTTTCATCTAATGATCTCATATCATTTTACATGAATGTATGTATGTCTCCACTGGCCCCTCTTCTCTCCTCAAAATCTGTTTTTAAACAAGTCTTTCAAACTTTTTCCCTTTCAGTTACTATAAAAGACCCTGCAATCTTACAAACAAAGCACTAAGGTCTAGAGCCAGATGTTCTACAAATAAAATCCTAACTGTAGTTACAGTAGCCCCAAACACAATCTTTTAAACTCTGACCATTTATTGGTCTAATTATGATTTCAGGGGCCTGTGTTCTGAGAGAAATCTTAAAGGTTTTTTTTTTTTTAATCTTAAAGGTTTTAACCAAACATTAAATCATAACTTTGTAATTGAATATATGACTAGCAGTCTAAATTTGTAAGTGCAGAAAATGGCTAAGAACAAATAGAAGTCTAAAACTAAGTGACAGGGATGCCTGGGTGGCTCAGCGGTTGAGTGTCTGCCTTTGGCTCAGGGCGTGATCCTGGAGGTCTAGGATCAAGTCCCACATCGGGCTCCCTGCATGGAGTCTGCTTCTCCCTCTGCCTATGTCTCTGCCTCTCTGTCTCTCATGAATAAATAAATAAAATTTTAAAAAATAAAATAAAACTAAGTGACAGCGGCACCTGAATGGCTCAATGGGTTAAGTAACTGCCTTCAGCTCAGGTCATGGTCCCCAGGTTCTGGGATTGAGTCCAGCATCAGAGGACTCTTCTCAACGGGGAGCCTGCTTCTCCCTCTACCTCTCTCCCTGCTCACTCTCTCTTTCTCTCTCTCAAATAAATAAACTCTTTATTTTAAATAAATAATAAATAAATAATACATACATACATACGAAGGGACAGCAAGGCCGAGGAACATACTGTGCCTCAGAAGCCTCTATGGACCTAGAAAGCACAGATCTGGACACAGTCAAGGAGGGAGATCCAAGTGAAGGGTGGGGTCATCCTACCTGAGTGAATCCAAGTTTGATTCGTCTTTGTTTGAAGGTCTTGGCAAATTGCTCAAGCTCCTCAAGGTCACTGGGCTCCTCCAAGCTGGGAGTATCAATTCGCTTTGGTGTGGACTGGCTCTGTGGAAGTGTCTGAATTGGGGTTGCTGCTATTGTGCGTGTTGGGGTTGCTGGCTGTTGCAAAGAACAGAAGGAGAAGAACAAGCATACAAAATGATACTTAAGTTTATCATGGAATGTGTCACAAGTGAAAAACTTAAGGAAGCAGCTCTATTCATGAAGAACTATGAAGACCACGTAACATTGTAGAAGGTATAACAAAATGCTCAGCCAGAAAAGCAGTATGAAATTGTGTGTACTATAATTACAGTTAAGGTTAAACATATAAGTCCATGAAGAAGTACTGAAAAATGAAACCCCTTATATTTGGGTTTTCAAATATATGTATGCATGAAATATGTGTGTTCAGAACATACATAATAAATTACTCTATTTTAAAGAATCTATTTCATAAATAGACCCCTTAATGACACTGTATTATAAAAAGAGTAAGATTAAAATGATTTTAAGGGAAAAGCAAATCATCTATCATTTAAATAAGTTACTAGCTTCCTTTTTGTGTATTTCTTCCCATAGACCTACATTTCTTTCCTTTTTTTATCCTGTTTTTGATTTGTTGCACTGTTTAATCTGTAAATGTTTCTTTCACAAGTTAGAAGTAATTTCCAAATTTTCAATAACAGCATACACCTCACAGATCAGAGTAACTTTTATGATATGATTAAGACATTGGAAGGGGTCATAGAGCACAAAATCAAAATGGTAAACTTTGTTTTTACTCAGGTATGACTGACATACAAAAAAGCTGTATATATTTAATGTGTACATCTTGATGAGTCTGAAGATAGTATACATTCACGAATATATATTTTCACCATACACAATGCCCTAAATTTACTCATTACCTCTAGCAAGTCCATCCCTCCCTTGGATCTACATTCTTTTTTTTTTTTAAAGATTTATTTACATTCTTAAGTTTAATTACAGTACATATAATTTTATACTCTGCTTCACAATTATCACTTTCAAAGGCTGAGGCAATATTATTGTTAATTAATTTAATAATTTCTTCATTGCTAAACACTTTTTCATTTATGTTCTCACTAACATAGTTAACACCATAATGAAAAACTTTGTGCAGAGGGTAATTTACCCCACCATCGTAATTAGTTCTTTGAGATAAATTCACAAGTGATTTTCTGCAACCGGATAAAGGGTACACCATAAACAGTTGCATGGCTTTTGATACACATCATGTTGGTTCTCACTATAAAATGCTAGTTTCTTCCACATGATTATGTTAGCAGTTCTTAAAAATGTTTTGCTAATTGAGGGAGTATATGGTACTTGACTATTTCCTTGATTTGTATTTCTCTTATTACTCAAAGTAAAATTTTTCTGTGCCCATTATTACTTGTATTTCTTTATCAATTGATTTATATCCACAACCCATCTATATATTAATGATCTCCTTATCCTCATCCTTATTGAGCTCATCAGATGTTAGAGATTAAGCCTTTGTCTGTTTTATTAGTACAAACAGATTTCCCAATCTGCTTTTTCTCCTTTTATTTTTCAGCGTACGTAAGTTTTAAATTGTCATTTGGGTTATTTTTCTTTTCCTTTCTAATACCTTGTTGCTTCAAATCTGAGAAAGCTTTTACTTATTCCTAACTCAGATAAAATTCCTTTTAATAGACTGCTAGCTTCCTCTTACATATTTTTAAATATTTATTTAAATCTGAGATTTATTTGGGGACATGAAGGTATACTCTTTCTTTTTCTTTTAAAGAAACTATTAAATTTCCTTATTACACAAACACAAGGCTACTCTGTTTTACTCACAAGCCCTGAGTAGAACCTGCCCTTGCCAGTATTCATGAGGAGAAGGTGTTGCCCTGACTGCAAAAACAGTTGCAGAGTTGACCCTTCCTGTGACCAGCAGCTCAGGTGAGAGATTATAAACCAGGGTTACAGATGAAGTCTGTGGCTGTGAATTTTCTTGTCATTTAAATGCATCATACACCCCAAACTTCGAGCTGGATAGTAATATGCTTTTTCCAGCTGAACCAAATGGCCCAGAAAACTACACAACAGACACGCCATAGGCCTACAAATGGAGTAGGCTCCTTTCTATCATCCTGCTTCAATGAAGACAACCAAGTCCATCTCTATTAGATGTTGCTCACACTGAGTGATTTTCAACCTGACCATTCTATAGGAGCCAAAAGAAGCATCAACCATACTAAAATCCTATGCAGTTGTACATTTCCTGGTGTGACTGGTGGATAGGTAGAAGTGTGTCTCAATTCTCTGTTACTTCATCTCCAGGCTTGACATAGCCCTGTTCTCAAATAATAAAGGACTAAAAATAGTTTGAGTACCTTCAGGTGGAGTGGTTACAGATAAGTTATCCCTGAGGCTGGACTGGGCTAGATCTAGAAGTAGTCGAGTAGAGTTCACTGAGCAGGAGTCAGGATAAAGCTACAACAGCCCTGCCACTGTGCCCAGAGCACAGAGGTCAAGAAGGAATTGCTGGTACAGGCTTTTTTCAAAACTCCAACCTGACTTTTATATGCAGCATATTCACAATTAAATGCAAATTTAAAAGTGTACAGTTTAATGTTCTATATAAAGTGTACAACTGTATATAGTCATGAACTGCTATGACAATTACAACACAGAACATTTCTATCCCTTACAAAAGTTTCTTTGTGCTCTTTGCTACCAATCTCCACCCTTAGCCCCCAGCCCCTGGCAGTACTGATACGATTTCTATCTCTATAGTTCTATCTTCTAAAACACCATACACATTGAATCATATGGTATTCAGACCTTTTATGTTTAGCTTCTTTCACTTAACATAATGCTTCCAAAATTTAAACATGCTGGTGAATGTTTCAGAAGTATTTATATTGCTGAGTAGTATTCCATCCTATGGATATGGCAAAAATCATGTTACTTATTCACCAACTGATGGACATTTAGATTATTTCCGGTCTGGGTAATGATGAATAAAACTGCTTTGAAGATTTATATACAGGTCTTTGTGTGGACATATGCTTCCATTTCTAGGAGCAGAACTGCTAGGTCATAACGTATGAGCATATTTAATTTTATAAGAAACTGCCGGGCAGCCTGGGTGGCTCAGTGGTTTAGCACCACCTTCGGCCAAGGGTGTGATCTTGGAGACCCGGGATCGAGTCCCACATCAGGCTCCCTGCATGGAGCCTGCTTCTCCCTCTGCCTGTGTCTCTGCCTCTCTCTGTGTCTCTCATGAATAAATAAATAAAATCTTAAAAAAGAAAATAAAAGAAACTGCCAAACTGTTTTCCAAAGTGTTTGCACCAACTTACAACCCCACTAATGATATAAAAAAGAGCCCAGTTGCTTTACACTTGGTATTGTCAGAGTCTTTTTAATTTTGCTCTTTCTAGTGGATGTGTAGTGCTATTTCATTTGCATTTCCCTGATGACTAATGATTTTGAGCATTATTTTGGTATGTTTACTGGGCTTTACATATCTTCTTTGGTTAAATACTTTCAAATTTTGCACATACCCACCCTTTTTTTTTTTAAGATTTTATTTATTTATTCACGAGAGACACAGAAAGAGAGAGAGAGAGGTAGAGACACAGGCAGAGGGAGAAGCAGGCTCCATGCAGGGAGCCCGACGTGGGACTCGATCCTGGGTCCCCAGGATTAGGCCCTGGGGTGAAGGCGGCGCTAAATCGCTGAGCCACCCGGGCTGCCCCCCGCCCTTTTATTTATTTTTTAAATCAAGTTGTCTTATTATTGAGTTGTGTGAATTCATTTAAAATCTGAACAGTCTTTTATCAGATATAAATCTGAAGAATATTCTCTTCCATTCTGTGCCTTTTAGTATTTTAAAAAAAATTTTAATTTTTATAAAATTAAATTTATTAATTTTTCTTTTATGATTAGGCTTTTCATGTCCTTTTTTTTTTTTAAAGATTTTATTTATTTATTCATGAGACACAGAGAGAGAGAGAGGGAGAGAGAGGCACAGACATAGGGAGAAAGTAGGCTCCACGCAGGAAGCCTGACATGGGACTCCATCCAGGGTCTCCAGGATCACACCCTAGGCTGAAAGTGGCACTAAACCGCTGAGCCACCCGGGCTGCCCTGTGTTCTATTTTTTTTTTAAGGATTTATTTTATAGTGAGAATGCAGGCATGTGAGAGGCAGAGGAAAGGGAGAGGAGAGAAGCAGACTCCCTGCTGACTGTGAAGACCAATATGGGGTTTGACCCATGACCCCGAGATCATGACCTGAGTTGAAATCAAGAGTCAAACTGAAAATCAAGAGTTACTTAACTGACTGACCCACCCAGGCACCCCCTTTTGGGTCCTATTTAAGAAATCATTACTTTGGGGCACCTGGGTGGCTCAGTTAAGTGTCTGCGTTTGGCTCAGGTCATAATCCTGGGTTCCTGGGATCAAGTCCCATGCTGGGCTCCCTGGTCAGTGGAGAATCTGCTTCTTCTCTCTCCCTTTGTCCCTCCCTACCGCTTGTGCTCTCTCTTTTTCTCAAATAAATAAAATCTTTTAAAAACCATTTTATTTCCAAGGAAACAAAGATTTTTCCCTAAGTTTTCTTCTGGAAGGTTAGGTCCATAACCTATTTCAAATTAATCATTGTAAATTGCATAGAATAAAATCAAGATTCTTTTTTTTTTCCCCCTTGCTGATGGATAACCAAAGACTTTCCTTTTCTCACTGAAATCATTTGGCTCCTTTGTGGAAAATCAGTTGGCCATAGATGTACAGGTCTACTTAACCTTCTTTCTGTTTCATTTCTATCCATGCACCATAATCATGCTATCTGCATTTCTGTAGCTTGATAACAGTTCTTGACATGAGGTAATCTTTCAATATTTTTATTTCCAAAATTGTTTTGATCATTCTATGTCCTCTACAATTCCATATAAATGTTAGAAAGACCATGCAAATTTCTATTTAAAAAAGCCTGTTGTATTGACTGTAATTGTGTTGAATTTTTTTGTGTTGAATTTATAGATCAATTTGGAAAAGAATTCACATTTTAACAACTTAAGTCTTCTGATTCATGAACATATTATATCTCTCCATTTAATTTCAACTCAGCAATATTTTGTAGTTTTCAATGTTTAATTCTTACAAATGTTTTAAATTTATCCGTAAGTACTATATTTTTCCTCTTAATTTAAACTTCCAAACAAACAAAACAAAAAAAACAAAACAAAAAACTTCCAATCATAGTTAATACTGATTATAAGAATATAATCCTACATTCTTGCTAAATTCACTTATTAATTCCAGTAGCTTTTTGTAGATTCCTTAGGATTGTGTACATAGACGATCATGTCCTCTACTAAATAAGACAGGTTTACATCTTCCTTTCTAATCTATATGTCCTTTATTTCTTTTTCTTGTCTTATTGCTAGGACCTATAGTACAATGCTGCATAAAAGTGGTTAACAGCGGACATCCTTGCCTTATTCCTGATCTTAATGGGAAAGTATGATGTAGGTTTTGTTTTGTTTTGTTTTTGTAGATGTCTTTACTAGGTTTGAAAACTATTCCTATTAGCATGAATTTTTATCTTAAACAGATGTATCTGGTAATGTGCTAATGATAAATTCCAAGATTATAGATAAAGAGAATCAGAGCTGGAAGAGGGATTTAGGATCAGTCAGTTCAATCATCTAATTTACAGAAGAAATGACTGTCCACAGAGGTGAAATGACATGCTCAAAGTCATAGCTGGTTAAGAAATAAACTAGATCTAAAGCTCAAATCTTAAGATACCTAGACATATACGTTTTATAGAATTAAACTCTAGTAGAAATGAGCTAAAGCAACATCTTGAAGTTGAGAGGAAAGAAAATAGAGATATCAGAGCAATTTCTGAGACAGGACAAAGGACAATGATGTGTTTCAACTAAGGCACTAGGTTTCTAGTGCAAGTGGTAATCTCTACTGCCAACTACAGGGAGGGGTTGAAGAAGACTAGAAGATGTCAAATAGAACCCATTACTCATTTGCCACTAACAGAGTTATTCTTTATAAACATAAAAGAAAATAGGAACTCCGAAGATTTTCAAAGACTACGTCAATTTGGTAGCATTGCTTTACAAGCTGATAAGTTTTGCTTTGAATTTTTGATCAGTTTGTGAAAACTATCTGGATAACTTTTAGTAGAGTATTATGGGGTTTCGCTGTTTTTAATTTAATAAAGTTCAAGAATCCCTCAAAACACCAGGGCAAGAGAAAGCAACCCTTAATGGGAGAAAACTGACCTGGGAGGTGAGGGTGATGCTTGGCTGCGACTGTAGGAGGTTGGCTTGGCTTTGCTGAGGTAGTTGCGTTAAAAGATTTTGCGCTTGCAGGAGTCCTGTAAAACATAAACATGTCATATCAGAAACAATGAAGATTATTGTGAACATACGGCAAAATAAAATATAAGAAAGTAAAATGAAAATCTCCTACTGATCTCTTGATAACCTTATCAATCTTAAAACTTTTAATGTCTTATTTGCCTTAAATTCAAACTTGTTAAATATGACTTGAGTAGGAAGAATTGGACATCAAACTAAAATTGATGTGTATGTGTTTGATAACCTGTCTGATGACCCTTCTGACTGGCCAATCCTCTACATTAGTAAGGAATAGATGAAAATGAAGAAATATTCTAAATGGAAGCAGCTTGAAACTCAAAAAAGAGCTCATCTTACCCCAGAATCCATTAGAAACTGCCAGTATATATTGGACCAGAGAACTGTCTGGTTCATGAAAGGAGCAGACTATCTATTAAGTGGAACAGATATTTACACAAAGATTTTGGAGGGCAGCCCGGGTGGCTCAGCGGTTTAGCGCCGCCTTCAGCCCAGGGTGTGATCCTGGAGACCCAGGATCAAGTCCCACGTCAAGCTCCCTGCATGGAGCCTGCTTCTCCCTCTGCCTGTGTCTCTGCCTCTCTCTCTCTGTGTCTCTCATGAATAAATAAATAAAATCTTAAAAAAAATTTTTTTTGGAATTAATCATTAAGAGGAAGGCTAAAGGACAGAAATAATGCGGACTTGGTAGAGATGCACTTTCCCTTGGGAGAAAGCCTCACTACCCTGTCACTCTCCACACTGATTCCATTAACCAACTACAAACATGACTGAACTTAACTGATACAGAAATGACACGACAATATTTACCACTAAAAAATCTGCAACTTCTAATATAATACTCTTCTCACACTTTAAAAGAAAATATATGATTGTTAGAAGCATATGATTTTAATGCTCAGCCCACATTTTTTAATACATTCCCAAGAAAAACTATCAAAATACCAGAAGTAATTTATGTTGAAGGATTTCATTTAGACTTTTGGCCAAACTCTTGGTCCCCCCTAAGTGATTAAACAGATGAAAGACAGTAAAAGACGACTTCAACATGTGGTGTGCATGACCAAAAAATGTATTTTTCTTAACATGAATACCGAGGTTACTTATTTATTTTCAAGATTTTATTATTTATTTGAGAGAGAGAGAGAGAGAGAGAGAGAGAGAGAGCGTGCACACACAAATTGGGGGGAGAAGGAGAGAGACCTGAAAACTCCCCGCTGAGCAGAGAGCCCGATGCAGGACTGGATCCTGGGACCCCAGGATTGTCATCTGAGCTGAAGGCAGATGCGTAACAGACTGAACCACCCAGGTGCCCCTGAATATTGAGTTTAAAGTAAATGAAATGAAAACATTGTGCTGATAGACAGAATGACAGCAGCGGATGTACAGTTCCTTAAGTGGCAGCCCTATGCAGTGCTATGCTAGGGGTTGCTGGGGAGGAGCTCACCCTGTTGGCCCTGGGGCGTCTGTGAGATGATAAACTGCGCTGGCTGCAAGTTGGTGGTTGGATGCACCAACACAAACTGCTGCAGGTTGAGATTCTGCTGCTGAAGCTGCTGCAGTTGCTGCAGATCCTAGAAAACCAGAATTAAAACACAGATTGGAGATCCTGAAACAAAAACTCCCTGAGTCATAAGGTTCCCAGATTATGAACTGTGTCACCCACATAAAAAAGAGTTAGTAGTTTACATCCTTCCATTCTTGGGAACTGGGTGTGCTCTGAGTATGTTCACAAAGCATGGGAGGAAACCTGGGACCACCCCAAGGATTTACGATTCTTGTGGGTATCTGCTGCATCATAACTTAGGCCAAACCTCATTTCCAATAGTTATTTCCAATTTCCTCAGAACAAATGATTACGGTTGAGTGTTCTAACATGTAAAGACCAATATGGGCTTTAAAATCAAGTGAGAAAAGAATATGTTGAGTATTTGAATATTCAACTGATCTTTCTCAAAGTAAAAATTGAGAGCACTATGTCTGAATTTACATCAATAAATTAAAATATCTATAATGATTCATTAAATCTGACACAAGTATGAGAAATCAGTGAAAAATACCTAAAAATAGCTATCCATATAAAAATCCAATCCATAGTGTATTAAACTTGCTCATCTTGGTTTTAGCATTTTATAATTTTCAATTTGCTTTCATGCACATTATCTTATTAGAATAATGTCACCATAGGGTCTCATACACTAAAAACATGTATTTGGTGATGAACAAAGTACCCCAAACTAAACATTATCTTGATAAAACCTGTATATAATGGTCATAAGGATTAGTGATATCTATTCTTTACTCATATAGTCAACTGGCTCTTTTTTCACATCTAATCAAACTCTAGCTACAACACAAATCCACTTCTGAGTCTTCTCTAGGGGGATAAAGACCCTCGTCTAGCACTAGACTCATAAGAATTCTTTGTATGACTTACTGATATGACACTTGTACTTTTTTCCTCTCCTTGAAATAAAGGATTTCATTTACCTTTCTTCCTTGGTAGTACTGTCTATGCCTCTTAGATAACTTTTTATTATCTCTCGATACCTTGCCCTAAAATGTGAAAACTGAAACCAAACAACATTCTAATACAGTTCTGCCGGAGTTAACGACTCTGTAGCAGAAAGATGATGTGCCATCTCTCACACACACAAGTGTCAACATTCACTGCAGAGCACATGAAAGAACCCATGCCTGCCATAATTAGCTAATTAAAATAAATACAGTAATCCTCTGCTTCAGAAATATGCCAACTAATTATTCAAGAATTGTCACTTAATATAAACAGTTATTCAAATAATCAGTTATGTGTTTATAATATCAACTCAAATAAGCAAACAAACATATTACTTCTAGTTCAGTGGTAAGGAAGGCTACCACATAGTTCACTGATCTAGAGCTTTCCAGGCCTTGAAGGACCTACATGAACAATCAGAAAGTGAATTTTATACTAAAGAAAACCTGTCGTTTTTTCCTCAACTTCCTGCTCCAGCCCCAGGAGCTACTCACTCACCTGTGCGATCTGGATGGGCTGAGACAGGGGGATCTGCGTCATGGGCGTGGCGGCGGAGGCTGAGATGGTGGCACCAGCAGCGCTGTGCTGCTGGCTAGCGGAATGCTGCTGCACTGCAGCAGCCAGCAGCTGGGCCTGGGCCTGGGCCTGCTGTAGCAGTAACTGCTGTTGGGCTGGCGTCAAAGTAAGCTAAACAAAATGAGAACAAACAATCTGAAAGGTCTGGAGGAGAAGGGGCCCTGATGCAAGCCAATTTACTTTGTGTAGGTATCTCAAGTGGTGTAAGACCTTGGCTACCCAACTTCACACGGTTACTATGACACTAAACCATTCATCAGCAATCAAGCTATCATTACTAGCAGAACATTTAAATGAAAATGGTGTTCCTCACTCTGGACTTAAACAATCATTCAAGCTTGTCCAGGGCCCTGGGGTTCAGGCAAAAAAAGTAATTAACTAGTAAGCAAGGAAAAAAAGAATCAATGCTGACAGGATATGAAAAGAAATTTACACCAAACAGAACATCAAGTGATTAGTCAGATGAATGAGGAACAAGGATGCTGGGTCTGACCACGGAAAGAACTGATAAGGCCCAGCTGCTTGCCATTAGCATGAATCTCTGCCATATTCCATCATTTCCATTATGCCCTAAGATATGACTAAAGAATATGAGCTCCATTTGTTTCTTTTCCAAGTCTCCCTACAGCCCTCCCCAACCCAGTCTTTTCTGTTATTGAAAAGCACTGGGTCTCTGCAACTTCACATCCCCTTCCTAAGACATTATCTCGGTGAAACAGGTGGTGACAGCCGCTCTCTTTACATGCAAATGAATCCTAATGCCCAGGTTTAATAGAAGCTCCAGCCACAAGAACCTGGAATCCCAAGTGTCTCTTACTATTGTAGACACTAATCACCCCAAACAAACCCAAAGTGTAAAACAGGAAATGTATTTAGAGCAGATTTAAACTTGCTTTCATAATGCAACTTATTTCAAACACAAAGTAGTGTGTTTTGCCTTCCTTTTGGTGGCATATTCTAATCAGACAAGAAAGAATCCTAGAATATATTTTTATTTTTAAAAGTTTTTTTTTAAAAAAAATAAATAAAAGTTTTTTTTTTTTTTTTAAATAATCTCTACCCCCAACATGGGGTTTGAACTCATGACCCTGAGATCAAGATTCACATGCTCTTCTGACTGAGCCAGCCAGGTACCCCACCTTGGAATATATTCTTAAGTGCATTCACTTAGTGGTACAACCCTCCTAAAAGGGTCCAATACAATTTGCATATTAGAGTCAAAAGAATCAAAATCAAATCATTCAAAAACTTAATATCTATCAAGTATATTTGCTTATAAATATTTTATATAATACACAAATATATCAATCTCTATTGAAGGAATTTTTATTTTAAAATTTTATTTTATTTAAATTCAATTATAATTAACATATAATGTATTATTAGTTTCAGAGGAAAAGTTTAGTGATTCATCAGTTACATATCACACCCATGCTCATTATATCACATGCCCTTCTTAATGCCCATCACTCTATTACCCCACCCACCTCCCCTCCAACAACCCTCAGTTTGTTTCCTAAGGTTAAGAGACCCTTACAGTTTGTCTCTATTGAGGGGATTTCTAAAAACAGTTTTGCAACATGTCTTCTTTTTTTTTTTTAAGATTTTATTTATTTATTCATGAGAGACAGAGAGAGGCAGAGACACAGGTAGAGGGAGAAGCAGGCTCCTTACAGGGAACCTGATGTGGGACTCAATCTCTGCACTGGGATCATGCCCTGAGCCACCCAGGTGTCCCAGTTTTGCAACATTTCTTAAAAGAGCTTTTCCATTACCAAGACATACTTAACAAAAAAAAAAAAAAGAAAAAATTGTGTGGGCTGATGTGATATGAATTGAACAATAACAACTCTTACCTCTCTCCTAGCCTTTCCACCCACAAAGTAACAGACAAATGTTCAACACTGGAAAAATATTTTTGGAGTCTTGGGCAGCCCGGGTGGCTCACCGGTTTAGCACCGCCTTCAGCCCAGGGCGTGATCCTGGAGACCCGCGATGGAGTCCCATGTCGGGCTCCCTGCATGGAGCCTGCTTCTCCCTCTGCCTTGTCTCTCTCTCTCTCTCTCTCTCTCATGAATAAATAATAAAATGAAATTTGTTAAAATATATATATATTTTTGAAATCTTAAAACAAAGAAAGCTGAAAAGTTAAAAACTTAATATATTCATGAGAAGGCCAATTTATTACCAATAAAAGTAAATAACATTTATTGATGGTTACGTGCCAAGCACTGTTCTTTGAGTTTCACAAATATTGGGACTCTTCACCTTTGAATAATATGAGATGCATCTTACATGGAGAACATCCTCATCTAACTGAAAGAAAAATGAGGCATAGGGAGACAAGTAGATTAGCCCAGACAGCAAACTGCAGAGCCAGGGCAGGAGACCAGAGGTTTCATTTGAGAACATTACACCGTGACTTTAAAGAAAATGTTTTTCTTTTGTAGGTACTGGTCTGTTCTTTAACTTCTACTCTGCAGCAATATCAGAACTCCAAACTAACCACTATAATTTCATCAATGTAATGGTCTCAGTTACAGGATGACTTCACTGGCATGATGAAGCAATGGTTGAAACATGAGTTTAAAGAAGTGTTTAGTTTATCTAAAGCGTCTGCAAAAGTAAGAAAAGATACCCTGAAAACTTATGACAAAGGTAATTCCTTTTTCAGAGCTGCCTACAGAAAATTCCTACAGTACAGAAAATAGTGTCAGGCAAAACCATGTCACTGTCTACTACAAACCATTCTTCTTCTTCTTCTTCTTCTTTTTTTTTTTAAAAAAATACTTTATTTATTCATGAATGACACAGAGAAAGGCAGACACACAGATAGAGGGAGAAGCAGTTTCCCTGCAGGGAGTCCTATGCAGGACTTGATCCCAGGACCCCAGGATGAGGACCTGAGCTGAGCCAAAGGCAGATACTCAACCACTGAGCCACCCAGGCATCCTCCTCTACCTCCCCCGGCCCCGATTTTTAAAGGGTTTTATTTATTTATTTATTTGAGAGAGAGAGAGCATACACGTGGACAGAAGACCAAAGGGAGAGGAGAAACAAGACTCCTCACTGAGCAGGAGCCCAACGCAGGGCAATCCCAGCACTCTGGGATCATGATTCAAGCTGAAGGCAGACACTTAACCGATTGACCAAGCCACCCAGGCGCACCTACTGCAAAAAAAAACCAGTACTAATCAGGTATTGACCAATGGCAGTTCCAACACAAAGCTTATTAGAATTCTTAGTGGAGACTTACCCCAGTTATCTGTCCTCCAGCCAGCATGAGCTGGGTCTGGGGGATGGCTGCCTGCACTGAAGGCTGCTGGGAAGGCTGGCTTGGCTGCTGTGACTCTCCGGATTCTTCATTAGATTTAGACTGGGCAGTTCAGGAAGGAACATGAGATTTCAAGCGACTGACTAAAAAAACTGTACTTAAAACTCCATATTTTAAGAATTATTTACAACATGAATTTATCTAGTCATAGGTTTTCTGGTTTCCCTCTTTTCCTTTCTTATTAATCTTTGTATTTTCCTAATTTTGACATAGTAAGTTTTTAGACTTTTTTCCTTTAAAAATCACATTTACTATTTGTTGTTTTCTAAGTATAAATGGTCAAATATGGAACATATAAAAGTAGAAAAATAAAATATAAAAATTATCCACAAGTTTTTGGTATAGACTTTTTGTTCCAATGGTATAGACTCAGTTTGTTCCAACTAGAGCAATGTTCCACTGCTCTAGTTACAACTTCCAAGAAAAAAAAAATAATTGGTCCTCCTCAGATCAACAGGATTCTTTAAAAACCCCAATCCTCAACTTTGGAAATAAGGAATAAGGGAAGAGCACATTCTTAATCCACCTCTACATCAGACCCTCCATCCCAACATTCTGAGATGTATTTGGTGGTCAGTGGGAAACTTCCTTAAATATATCGTCTCAGAGACTGATTACTTGACCCACAGAACCTTTCATCTAATATTTAAAATAACTGTAAGCTTAGCAAATCCCAACAAGTAACACACAAATTTAGAGGGAAAATGCTGCAGTCAGGAGGGAAAGAGAACACACTCCTAAAAGGGACACTAAGAGGAAATTTTATGGTAATTAAAACTGGGTATGCAGAGCATTAACATTCTGCATAGATTTGCATATTTCCCACCACCTGTTTTGGGGACTGCAGCAAGGCTAATTAACATAAAGGCTCTGATTAATTCTGCCAGTCATTGAGAGATAATTACAGTGCAGGACTGTAAACATGCTGCACTGGAGATACAGCCTGTTTGCCAACATCTCTCTAAGGGATGAAAGTTTACCATGGCAACCAAGGCAATTTTCTGCCTCCTCTCCCTCAGAAAGGAAGGTCACATTATCTCTTTTTCTTTTCTCTTCTTGCTTCCATGTGTTACTAGGTCCATATTCCACTGGGTTTCCTGGAATGCTCAACTCAAGGTCTTTAGTCATTAGCAACACTGAAATCAATCTTCTAGAATACGGTTTTTCCCTCTTGACTGTTAGCAACCTAAAGACTATACCGAAAGGAAGGAGATCCACTAAATGAAGATGGAGTGAAGCATAATAACTGAACTCTGCATGTTTTACCATATGGTCTGTATCAGAAAAGTAGCCGATTTAACTTTTGTTTTGAAAATTCTGACTATATGAAGCCTATCAATGACTATAACAGGTTTAGTTACAAACCTTAGAATCAGCACTTTAGAGCAGAGAGGAACTATGGCAAGATTCTAAACTTCTGCACTTAAATAAACGTAAGACAAAAGGAACCCCACGAGGTGAAATGACTTGCCAAAGGTCACACAGCTAGTTAGTGCGACAGTACAAACCTAAGACCTTTGTATCTCAGTCCAGTGCTCTTTCCTCTACACTATAAAATGACAAATAAAAAGACATCTGGAAACAAAAGGGCATTAAGATATTATTTGGCTTTGTGTTTAGGTATGTGTTATTACTGTATGACTTAGAAACATTTTACTAAACGTACATATCTAACTCTGAAAATAGGACTTTTCTTTCTTGTTCACCTTTTGTCATTCACAGTAGCATACTATAAACTGGATTTTCATTAATGTCAATGATTATCATTATTTGGATCTTAATAACATTAGGTAATAAAAAAGGGTAATACCTCTAAGTATTTCTTATTATAGAATTACTGTATGCTCATTATCAAAAAATCAGAAAAATATGGTAAAAAATAGGAAAACTGATCCATAATCCCATGACCCAGCTTACCTGTACATTTAATGACTGAGCAGCAGCCTGTAAACTTGTTCCAGCGAGCTGGACCTAGAAGCAATGTAATCAGGTAAATTTCTAGTCTAATACTGTAAGTTGACATCAACAAGTATTTCAAGAATCTCTACTAAGTGAATATCACTGAGTTAGAACTGAGAACATAAAGAGATCTATCTCAGAGGGCGAAAACTTAATGGACAAGTTCACAGTTCCTCCACTCCCGCCAGAAAATGCTATTAATATTTCTTTTCTAAAAAATGCTTTCCCACACTAAAATAGCCTCTTCAGGCATGCCGCACTGGTATTAGGCAATCCTTATATAGCATCCTGTTTGTATTCATTGGACACTTAGATTCTAACAACTTAATTCACCTTCCATTGTATTAGAAAAAAATAACAAGCTACTTATATACATTATTTGTATCATTATAATCAGAATTATCTACTCATTCTAATTTCAAAATTTTCATGTACATACCAGAGTAAAAACCTTACTTATATAAACACCTACATAGCTAAGTCTTAAAACATTTATAGTCATAACTCAAAACTGCCAGCCGAAATAAAGAATCTGTCTTATAAACCACACATGGAAGTCTGTCATAACACTTAATATATTTCATGCATTTAGAGAGTTAAAACCATGATTAGAATCAGGATCATTATTTGGCAATCATGTTAATAATAACTGATTCTGGTTAAGTGTCATCAATGGATGCCCTAATGGGTGAAATTTGAGGAATAACATGATATTTTCATATTCTCAACTATCTTTCCATACATATTTACCAATTACAAAAGGTAAAGTCACCAGTAGTGACACATGTGCCTTCCAGTTTGATCCACTAAAGAACACAGAGTTACTTTACGTTGTATTCCTCTGCAAACCCCAACTGAGCAACAATGTACAAAATAACTAGTTTGTATTCTTTTCAAAAATGCCAGTGTCTTGAAAACAAAGACAGACTATGTTGGGAGAAAAAGAAAATAAACTAGGGTAAAATAAATGGAAGCCTAAATTAGAATGGCAGCAGTCAGCATAAAAAGTAGTTAACGTGAGAGACATTGCGAAGTGCTACATAGGATCCCAGTAACTGGCTAGATATAAATAAAGGAAAAGGCCATGAATTATTCTAGGGTTCAAATCTGAGAGACTGGAAAAAGGTAGTATCATTGATAGAAAGCCAGTGAGTTCCATCTTGGATATATAACATTGCATCGAAGTTTTCTGAAGTTAAATATAAGTGTTGATATGGAGCTCAGTATAGAGTTCAGGGCTAAAATGAATAGACTGCTACCCTTTATTTAAAACTAACAGTCCTGGGGGCACCTGGGTGGCTCAGTGGTTGAGCATCTGCCTTTGGCTCAGGGCGTGATCCCGGGGTTCCGGGATCGAGTTCTGCATCGGGCTCCTTGTGTGGAGCCTGCTTCTCCCTCTGCCTGTGTCTCTGCCTCTCTCTCTGCATCTCTCATGAATGAATAAAATCTTTTAAAAATAAAAAATAAAAAAAATAAAAATAACAGTCCTGTTAATAGATAATAACCCTCAGAAATAAACCTAGACATTTACAGAGAACACATTTTAGATGTAGTGCATTCAAGGAAGGATTATCTGAAAAGATGCTTAAGATCCAAAGGCTAAGAATTCAACCAAAGAGCCAGAGGAAAGAGTTTTGGTACAAAGAGTTAAAGGTAGTAAAGTTTCCATGTGATTTTATTTAAGTCATGTGGTTTCTGGGTAGAAGTTTGTTGAAGAACAGGATAGTTACAGGTCTTAAAATATCCCCTTTCATGGATTATTTGCTAATTACAAAGAGGAAGAAAAATGCCTTTATAGTGGACAAATCTAAAACACTACCATTATCAAATAATCAAATTTATTATCACAATAATGGGACAAGGTGATACCACAGAATTTCTAATGTGCTCCTGTCAAAAACTTGGATCCAATCACAAGGGAAAAATTAAACAAACTCAAATTGAGGGGCCTTCTACAAAACAGTTGTTTTCTACTTTTAAAAAATGTTAATATCGTGAAAGATGAAGACAGACTGAGGAATTGTTCCAGAACAAAGAAGCCTAAATAGACATGACAACTAAATGCAAGGTGTGGACTAGACTGTAGATCAGAAAACACTTAAATACTGACTGAACATTAGATAATAGTATTGCATTGATGCTAAATTTCTGGAATTTGAAATTTATGTTATAGCTATATAAAAGAATGCTGTTTTTTAGGAAAAACATGACAAAGTACTTAGAAGTAGAAGGTCATAGTGCCTGCTACTTATCTAAAATGATTTTGAAAAAAAATATATGTACACTTTTATGTATGTGTGTTTATACACACACAGCAAAGACAGCAAATACTAATAGTTGATAATTCCAGATGAGGGGCTTTCAGTAAAAAACAGTTCTACAGTTATAACTTTTCTATAATTTGAAAGTGTTCAAAATAGAAAGTTGAAAAAAAAAAAGTGAGAGCATCCTTTTACCACTTCATTTAGCTACCTCCCAACATCCTTCAAAACTTAGCTCAAAGTCATCCTGTGATAAATGTCCTTGATTGTACAGGTTCAGCTAATTATTTCTACCTCTATATTCCCATATAACTTTACCATTCATTTATTCAGTAAATAATGACTGAACATCTATTATATTTTGGGCTCTTTGGAAAATACTGGGATAAAGATTAAAAAAAGGTTCCCATCTTTATGGAATTTATGGGGTGATAGAACTAAAATCATCTACTTTGTATATGTGTACACACGTTTATAATTATGGTAAGGAAAAAGAGTATGAATCTGGTCAATAAGAGGGCTAGAAACAGAAGGTAAGTGCCACATTTATGTTAATTATGTGTCTAATCAGATGGTGAGCAATTCTGCAGGGACTGACATCTTAATGGAGAATTCAGTGATGTCAAGATTTCATATCAAATTCCTTGATTTTAAAGTCCTTTGGTTTGGGGGGATACTGAAGGTTCAATGATTTTGGTAATCAGTAGCTGGAGGCCTTGGAGCTGGTGCAAGAGTTGCACTCTTCTTGGAATTCAGATCCAATGGAGAAAAGACTGCATATCATCTATGTACTTTCCGGGATTTTTTTTTTTAACACATTTGGACCATCACAAATTTAAGCCAGGTAGAGGCTTAATATGTACCACATAAATTGACTACCAAATATGTCATTCCTCTAAAAAAACAGAAAACTTGTTGGAGGCTACACATGTTTTTATTTTTTAAAAGACTATCTATCTATGTATCTATCTATCTATCTAAGAAAGAGAGAGAGTATGCGCGCGCGTGTGCACACGCCCGCATGCATGCCCGCACACAGAGGTAGAGAGAGAGAAGCAGATCGAGGTAGGGCTCGATCCCAGGACCCTGAGATCTGAGCTACAGGCAGATGCTTAATCAACTGAGCCACCCAGGTGCACTTACAAAAGTTTTTAGAAGAAAATCAATATGAAAATAATATTTTTGGTTTTCTACAATACAGTCTTAAATTATTTTAGATGCTAAATCATCTTAATATTTTACCTGGAAGTTTCATATAGAAGTTCCTCTACTTTTTTTTTTTTTTCCAGAAGTTCCTCTACTTTCAAAAGCAAACAAAGCTATCGGCTTGAGCAAAAGTGTGTGTCAACTAGGACCTCACTCCAGTATGCTAATTGCCACCAGCATACTACTCCTCTGAATTTGTAAATAAATGGGCTTTAGAAGACCTTTCTAAAATTCCATTGTTTCAAGTGCAGGAGCTTCTTTTATACAAAGTACAGGTAGTCTAAAGATATATTTTACAAGCTCAAAAGACATACGAAGATACAGTTTATGAAAACATATTCTGAACTGAGAGCCTTACACAGTAGGTCTCGGGCAATGGTGGCTACATCCTTTTGGATAGCTTTGTAATTTACTACCTTCAGTGAGCCATCACAGACCCACAGTGACATGTAAATAGTAACTCAGTTGTTACGTACATTCCATTCATAACAAAGAATTGTTTTTTCCACACAACGGTGAGGTCAGTAGCTATACAGTCAATTAAACACTATGATTCCAGTCTAGCCATTCTGAAGGACACAATCAGGTGTGATTAGCACCAGGCTTTAATTGATTTAAAAAGTCCTGCACACTGGGAGCACCTGGGTGGCTCAGTGGTTGAGTGTCTGCCTTTGGCTCAGGGCATGATCCCAGGGTCCTGGGATTGAGTCCCACATCAGGTTCCCCAGAGGGAGCCTGCTTCTCCCTCTGCCTATGTCTCGGCCTCTCTTTATCTCTTTGAATAAATAAATTTTTAAAAATATAAAAAAAAGTCCTGCACACTGAAGTAACTTCCCTAGGTCCTAACATTCTGTGCCTCCAGTTTTTACTCTCCCTCATGGTTGAGCAGAGCATTCTACCTGATGGAGATGTCCAAGGAAAGCCTGGGCCTGGGCTGTTGAAATTGCTCCACCAACAGGCACAGGCTGCTTCTGAAAGTCCAGACCATTGGTTTGTGTGCCTAAAAAGCAAGCAAAATAATGTTAACTAATTAAAAACAAAAAATGAAATAAAGCACTAGACTTTAGTCACGAGCATTTACCAGGCATCTATTTTGTATATGCGCTTTCTTAAGTACCTCCATAAATGAGATTTAAAAGATAGATAAATCATTTTACTGTATTTTATCTTCTAAAGAGAGGACTGCTGGACAAGTAAATATGAACACAAAGCTTAAGAAACAGAAACAAAAATATAAATAATGAATTCTAATCCTAAAATAGTGTTACAGAATCCAGAAGTGAATGTAGTAATTGGGGTCAGAATAAGCATGGCACCTATGAGCATCAAGGAAGAGATTATTGTCATTACTACTGTTGTACAGAATGGTACAGACAGACTTCCAAGGAGGGACTAAAGCTCTTTTTTGGTCTCCCTGTTCTCAATACTTGGCATGAGCAGAAGAAATTCACTGGTGACTTTCCAAGATGATACATTCTTAACTTAGGCTTTTAATACATGACAGTCCGATGGCAAAAACTACCATTTACATGATAAAATAGTTTTACTCATTTCTTCAATCCCAAAGTATAGACTGCTGCATATATCTAATTAGCAAGAATTTTTCTATAATTACAACCTTCGAGCTGTTACGCCTGTGCATTTTAATCACTTATGCTGAGATCTGATGTTAGAAGAGGACTAATTTATAAAAGGCATACCATCCTAATACTCAGAAATTTTTAAAGAATATAATACATTGTTTTCAAACTAATATATCGAGTTATTATTTACAAATTACCAGAATTCCGTGTACTCAAAATATAAGACTACAAGAACCTGCAAGAATCATCAAGACACAGGAACTTCCATTTCCTAACATTCAAACAACCCACCTGTCCATCCATACTCCTGTGTGTGCACACATGGAGCACACCAGTTAGGGCAGTAGAAGCTAGCACATTAGAGTAGTATTTCTAAATGGCTACTAACTTAGGCCATTATATATCCTAACTAACCTCTAGCAAGTGTATCATTTTAATAAGAATAATGAGGTAGATCACATGAATCAAAAGAACTACTTAAGGTTTCCTTGAGATAATTATAAAAGGAGTGTCACCTACTTAAAACTTCATAGTGATTGTTCTCTTATGGTTTTTTTTCCCAAGTTTTCCATAAATAGAAAATGAAAGGCCTACCTAGACATACATAGCTAACAATATTAAAAGAGCATATATACTTGTGTCAAGTAGTGAGAAACTAGTATGAATTAAAATTTAAATTAGGGTCACCTTCACAAGCCATATACAGAAACTTCATTATTTTAAAGTTGCACATTCTGTCATTAGCTGCTGTCTCTATTTCTATGCAGAAAATCATTATTTAGGTTGATTTTAAGATTGTGCACCATTAGAGAGTTATGCTCAATATATATCACATAAATCCACATGGCTAGGGACGCCTGGGTGGCTCAGTGGTTGAGTGTCTGCCTTCAGCTCAGGCCATTATCCTGGAGTTCTGGGATCAAGTCCCACATCGGGGCTCTCTGCATGGAGCCTGTTTCTCTCTCTGCTTATGTCTATGGCTCTCTCTTTATCTCTCTCTCTCTCTCTCTCTCTCTCTCTCTCTCTCTCTGTGTCTCTCATGAATGAATAAATAAAATCTAAAAAATCAATCAATCAATCCACAAGACTAAAAGAAGATGAGAGTTTGAAAAACAGAGACAAGCATTTAGAGATTAACACATCACCAATATAGGAAGTCTTCTAGAACCAAATATTTCACTCCCATGAAAATTCTACACGCTGGTTCCACTTTCCAGTTGCCATAAAAGTGATATACCCCTTGTAAATCACAAGGCACTATATGACATAACTGACTAATTTTTATCTCTGGACAGAGCCTCCTACAGTAGCCTACAAGTAACTGTGCCTGGCTTTACCCTCTTGGGGGAATGCAGAGGTATAGTATCCAATATTAGTAAGTAAAAGAACGTTCTGGGCAACAATTCAGATAAGCAGAGATTTAAGATGGAAAAGCAGGCATTTTTTAAATAAAATTCTGAGGCTCCACTAGGAGGTAAGGGATGGAAGAGTGTAGATATTACATAGAAATCATTCTTGTAAAATATAAATTGGGCTAAAAGGAAAGGAGAGTGGAACAGACAGACACAGGCACAGGCACACACACAGACACATACACCTGACTTGAGTAAGCAGACAGTACGGGGAGACAGGGATGTTGGGAGCCAAAACCAAATGTGTGTCAGAGACAACAGGAACATCCAAATAAGGAGCTAGGGGAATTAACAGGATGGGAGAGAAGGTAAATTATGTAAGAAGATTAACATAACATATACAGAGTTTGAGAAACCCCAAAACGTAAGAAAAGTAATCCAGAAGGCATTTAGAAATGACATAGTCCAGAGCTAAAGATTCTATAAGGTTGCCACTAGAACAGTGTTACTTAGGTGAACCTCAGAGATCTTGAATCCAACCTCCTTATTTTATTGGTGAAGATTAAGTAGTCTTAATGAATTGTTCACAATGTCATAGCTAGTTAGTGGAAAAGCCAAGTCAAGGGCAGGGTCCCCTGATTCTGTGTAATCACTCACAGAGAAGTGATAGTTGAAATCTGGAGAGTAAAAATGTCAATCAACTAAAAGTGGATATAGAGAAAAGAAGATAAGAGGGTCTCTACATTAGGAGATGTAAACACAAAGAGAACTAGAGAGGAAGCAGTTAGAAAACAGGAAAAAAAAAATCTCTCAGGACTAGTGTACCTTAGGAGCCAGGCACAGGCAAAAGAAGGCTACAAGGATGGGGTGGTTTACTACTGCCAAATGGTATAGAACAGGATCAAATACTGAGAAAGAAATTAATCCGAAGAGAATAGATGAAAGACAGTAATAAAGGTAAGATCAAAACTTAATGAAATAGCAGGGGGGAAACCCACATAATACCCAACTTGGTTCTTTCAAAAGATTCATACAGCTTACAAACTTCTGGTAAGATGAAGGAAAAAAATAAAAGAGAAGGAGCAAAGAATTTAAGGATAACAGAAGGAAGGACAATCAAAAAATGCTGCAGATGCTTAAAAAAAAAGATTCATAAACCAATAAAAAATATGTCAATAAAATTAAAACTTAAAAATGGATTACTCCCGGGATACCTGGATGGCTGAGTGGTTTAGTGCCTGCCTTCAGCCCGGGGCGAGATCCTGAACTCCCAGGACGGAGTCCCACATCAGTCTCCGTGCATGAAGCATGCTTCTACCTTTGCCTGTGTCTCTGCCTCTCTCTCTGTATCTCTCATAAATAAATAAATAAATAAATAAATAAATAAATAAATAAATAAATAAATAAATAAATAACTTAAAAAAAAAAAAGGATTACTCCCAAGAAAATATAACTTATCAAGACTAACTCAAGAAGAAACAGAAAATCCAAAGGATCCCACAACATTTGAAGAGATTTAATTTGTAAGTAAAAATCTTCCCAAAAGGAAAAATGAAAACCTAGATAATTTTACTCTGCTTGCTTCCAGAAATCCAAGGGACAAACAAGTCCAATCTTACACAACTTTTCCAGAGTATGGGGAAAAAAGGGAAATAATTCCTAACTTATTTTATGAGGTCAGCATCATCTCATTACCAAAACCTGACAAAAAGGAGTATAAAAAAGAAAAAAATATATATGCCAGTTTTACTCACAAACATACATTAAAATATCCTAAATAGTACTAGCAAAAATAATCTCATAAGATAAAATATTATGACCACCATGGATTTATCTCAGGAATGCAAGGTTAGTTTGGGGTTAAAAAAAAAATTGGTGTGATTCACCACATTCATTAAAGGGGAGAAATCCTATAATCATCTCAAAGGGTAAAGAAAGTCCTTAGATAAAATTCAATATCCACTTATGATAAAAATTCTAGGCAAAGGAACAGAAAGAAACTTCCCTAACTTGATAAAGAGTAATATTAAAAGCATTAAAATTAAGAACAAGCTAAGGGTGCCAGCTCCTGGATGGCTCAGCCAATAGACAAGGCAAGAAAAGAAAATACACCAGTTGGGAAAAGACACAAAACTTCCTTTTCAGATGATTTGATAATGTATATACAGTACTCTGAGGAATCCAATGATCTATTTCTAGAGTAAGAGAGTTTAATAAGGTTGTAGCACATGAAACTATCAAAATTGCTTTTATATACCAAAGGTAAACATTTTTAACAATTTTATTTCTAACATTTCAAAAATATAAAATCCTGAGAATAAAGCTATATACCTACAGCAATTCCTAATTAGTGAAAAACTATAGAACTTTATTTAAAAATTATAAAGAAGACATATGTAAATGCTCATTTACTGGAAAACTCAACATTGTAAGATATCAATCAGTTCTTTCCAAACTGATCTACGGATTCAAAGCAATTTCATATCAAAATCTCAGTAAGTTATTTTCTTTCTCTTTTTCCTTCATTCTCTTTCTCAGAGTTGGGGCGTGTGTGTAACTGACAATGTGATTCTAACATTATTAAAGTTTTCCCCCCAGTTATCTCTATACCCAATGTGGTGGGGCTTGAACTCATGACCCCAAGATCGAGTTGCTTGCTTTTCTAACTGAGCCAGCTAGATGCCCCAAGATTCTAAAATTTCAATAGAAGGGCAAAGGGTCAAGATGCTTTTGAAAAAAACCCAAGTGGAGGGATCTGTACTATCAAGATATTATGAATTATCATAGAACAGCAATAATTAGAACAGCATAGTATTAGAACAGTGATGAACAGACCAGAGTAGAGTCTGGAAACCACACTTTAGATACTTGCAACGTGATAGGTAGTACTACTACACATCAGCGAGGAAAGGATGGAGTTTCCAATAAAGGATAACTGGGTATCTATTTGGGGAAAAAAATGAAATTAGATCAATTCGTACTATACAGAAGGAAGGATACAAGCAAGCAGACAGGCAAGCAGGGAGGGAGGAAGGAAGAAAGTTAAGTTTCAGAAGTATTAAAGG